CTGTTGACCAAGTCCACGCTCCTCCGTACGACGTCGCTTTGTCACCTGAAAACACAAACGTGAGCTAGCCGGCGGGTGTGTGCCGGAAACCTCTCCGATGCCTAAGTCAGAAAACTTGACAAATAGACAAAGCTCTAAGTTCTCAGAAAGATTGTGTTCAATTACCTCTTCCAAGGTGATGCTTGTAGGCTTTTCTAAGTTTCCCGTGGCACAATCCTGGTAGGACTTGTATTTCTCCATGCAGAGTCCTCCTAGGATTCATACTCCTAAGGATAATGATTATCCTTTTACACCCTCCCCCACTGCTTAAACCAAGTGGGATGGTTTTCTCCATGGCCGAACTACCACATGACCGAAATAACACTGGCTATGCTGAGCCACATAGAAGGCCGAACTATCCTTAGCTCGGTCTTCTCTACTAACTCATTACTTCGGCTGCCCTTGTTCAACCTTGGTGCGTTTAGATCAAACTTCCAAGTAGCAAGTTCTGACTGACCTAACCAGAGTATGTCGCGACCGGACTAACAATGAGACCGGCCTAACTCTGAGTTGCCTCTGGACCGGAGTAGCTTTACTCCTCCTTGGGCCGAAGCAACTATCCTTTCTTGAGCCGGAATAAACTCACCTCCTTGGGCCGAAGTAACTTTGTCTCCCCAAGGCCGGAGTAACCTTGCCTTCTAGGCCGGAGTTTTCAGTACGGCCTTTTTACCTAGTCCTCTGCGTTTTGGGCCTCAAAACCCAACTCGAAGCTCGGCCCAATTTTTCCCAAAAATTACCCTCTCAATTGCCCCTTAATTCCATCTGCATAGCATGATTGGGATTACCAGTCCACTGGCCGAGCTAGTTTAATTAAAAAGTGACATAAAAAATAAATATTATCACACTCAATCAAATTAAGTGTGATTAAAACATCAATCTAATTTTTTTTTATCACACTTCTAATAAAAGTGAGACAGTTTTTTTTGTCAAAGTATGATTTTTAACTATTTTTGTAGTAGTGGAGAGAGAGAGAGAGAGAACTTGAGTTTCAGATATGGTGAAAGCAGATGTTGTGAAGTGGTTGCCGCTATGTAGTTTTGGCGCGGAAGAGGAAGAGGGTAGAGCTTGGCCCCGAAAAAAATAATAAAAAAATGAATAATGATGAACAATATCTCGTTTATTGTAGCGGGATACTGTAGCACCCTCAAATTTTGGCACGCTTGTAGCGAGATTGATGTGCCTGGTTTTTTAGAGTTTATCTCGCTAGTTTAGCAAGAGAAGGGCTCTATCGAGTTTGATGAGATTGTTCGAATTGAGTTTTTGGTACCTTTTAGGGCATTAATCCTCTAGAGTTAATTCCTAGAGTGATCCATCCAAGGGTTGGGATTTAGCCTCACCAAAACGACGTCGTTTTGGTGAGTGATTTGAAAAAGAAAAAAAAAATCAGCTTTCAAAATTCCCTATACGTTTTTGTCCCTGTGCAGCATTAGAGAGAGAGAGAGAGAAGGGCTGAAAGAAAGAGAGAAGATGAGGAGGATCTCAACGCTAAAAAAGAAGAAAGCCGTCGTTGCCAGCCCCTCCTCCTCTTGGACCATCATGCAAGATCTAGGATTGCCTTTTTGTTTTCCTTCTCTCTCCCCCCTTCTCTCTCTCTCTGCACTTGAAAGTCCGAAGGGTTTCAATGCTTGAAATTTTGTCTTGGGGTTTCTTCACTGATTTAGCTCATTTTTCTCCCTCCAAAATTCACCTTCAATCATAACCTTTCCTTGCATATCTCTATTTTCAAAAACATTTCTATTAAATTTGTAAATATTTTGGGAAAAAAAATGTTGATTAGAAGTGCTAAAATTCATTATTGTTTATAAGGATTTGATGAGGTAATTAATTGAAAATAAAAAAGGAAATAAAAATTTTCTACTGATAATAAAGAATATATGCTTCAAGAGACTTTTCACTTCATTCAAGCTATTTGGGTTTTTTTCTGGTAATCAATCTCTCTCTCTCTGACCTTGACAAAATTTCTATTCCTTTTGTTCTTTTACTGTACTGGGTATTATATCATCATAAATTATCATCAATTTTCAGTATATAAATTAAATTTATTGCTTCCATATGATTATAATATATATATATATATATATTGATTCATTACTTTGGAGAGGTAGAAATAGGACTTTCTTCTTTTGATGGGTCGCCGGCGGTTTCTCTTTAACTTGGTCTGTGTTGTTGTTGCTTGCTGCTCTTGATTTTCTTCTTCTTTTTCTTCTTTCTTTCCTTTTCTTTTCTTCTTTTTTGTTTTGTTTTGTTTTTTGGGTTTTCATCATCAAAACGACGTCGTTTTGGTGAGGAAGTGATCTTAACCATTCGTTCTATTAATGGAACATGTGTCGCATCCTCACCAATTCACTTTACCAGATCACTCTAGGAATTAACTTCGGAGGATCCCAACGCCTTTTTGGAAGAGATTGGAGAGCTCGCGCCATTGTTGACTTGGTAGTTAGGTCTTAATAAACAAAAAGGAAGTTGCAGTTACTTCGGATTGTTTGGCATTTCATTATTTTAGTAATTTTTAAATTTTTTTAAAAATATGAATAAATAATAAATTAAAAAAACAGAGAGAGACTTTTTAATTAAAATTCATGTTTGTTGGGTCTTACAAAAATTGTGTTTTATTGGAACAAAAGCTTTAGGACTAATAGTCCCTTAGTGTTAATCCCCTCCTTAATAATCCCACAAGAGAGGTGTGATTGTTATTCTAATCCCACGAGATTGGAGAATAAGATAAAAAATGATAATTTTATTCTCTATTTTACAAAGATAACAAAGTTACATTTTATATAATAATAGCCTTTAGGTATTTCATATATTTAGTCTTAACCAACTAATATTACCACATCAATACATAAACAAATACAATTTTTATTAATCTCCTCACTAACAATCTCAATACTAACTATGTTATCCAAACTAATTCTAAAAACAAACGGACCCTTAGTTGTCAAATGAGGCCAAGACTCATAAGAATAAAAAATTTAAGATTTCTTTTAATTAGGTAGGATATCTTATTAATTTATTTATTGTCTTATATTTTATTTTTTGTATTTATTTTAGCAATTAAACAGATTTGAATTAAATATTTTAGATACTCAATATATTCAATCGATAGTTTTGGGATTAAGTAAATAATTTTATAATAATTCAAGGGTAGAAAGTGAAATTAACTCTAAATAGACTCAAACAATAGTTTAGGAATCAATAATTCAAAATTTAAGTAGATAATTTAGTAATAGTTTAGGAACATAAAGTAAAATAACCCTAAATAAAAATGTCATGAAAAGTTATCTTGAAATTATTCCAAAACAAGGTGTACATAGACCACCGGGGTGGTGGCCTAATGGCGAAGGTATTCTTCTTCATAGGTGTGATTTTGGTTCGACTCTTGGGGGGGAGCGAAATGTTGGGTAATTCCAATGGCTCTCTGTTAAGACCTTGCTCTATACTCCGATCAAATCTTGGACTCGTCTGTGGCGTATGATTGAGCTCCATTGATACCTTGGTATGGTATACTCTGATCAAATCTTGAGCTCGTCTGTGGCGTTTGGTTAAGCTCCACTGGTACTTCGGTATGGTTGAGCTCCACTGGTGCCTTGGTATGGTTGAGCTCTATTGATTCCTCGGTAGTGGGTTTCTTTCTATGAGTTTGGTTAAATCAGGTTTGCAACCAGTTATCCCAAGGCCTGGGCCCACGGATGTCGTGATGACACCTTAGAGCATCTTTTTTTCTGATAAAAAAAAGAAGGTATACATAATAAAGATTAAAAACTAGAAGGATATGATATATTTCGAATAATTATAATTCATAATATATGTTCTAAATAATTTTTTGAATACGCATTAGGGAAAGGTTATGGTACACACTCCTTAAATTAAAGGGTGTGTACCATATGTACCTTATAATTAAAGAAGAAAATGACATAATTTTATACTTTTTGAATCATAATATAAATATAAAAAAAGTCATAACCAAACGACACATAAGTAAAACCAAATATCTCATGAGTCATAATTAAAAAAAAAAAATGATATAACTCAAAAGTACATACAGTAGGAATTGTGTATTAGTAGAATTTCCTTATGCATTATTGTTATATTACAAAAATATAAAAAAATTAGTTTAATATTAAAGAGATTCTAACACGATCCATAATGACACCACACTACGACTTTGATCACTAACTATAATTATGTAGTGATTTTCTTTGCTATGTCTATTGGGTACCAATTTAGAGGATCAATCTCACTGTTTATTTGCAAGAGTTCCAATTAAAATTAGGATAAACTCTCGTATGAATTGAATTCAAAAAATCATTTGTTCATAGAAAATTTTGAACCTAAAACATTAAAGGCAGCACATCCCCAAAATTCAAGACCCAAAATATATTTATTTATCTATGTAATACTATTCAGTGTGCTTGGTTTCAATTTTGTGGATTTAATTTTTTGAAAATTGAGTTTTTTTGTTTTTTTTTTAGTGAACGTTTTAAACATTTTAAGCAATTTTTTTTTTACTTTTTTAGATGCACCTTCCATAGATGTATATAAAAAGTAAAATATTTGTACAAAAATAATAAATACACAAGAATACGAAAAATGTACTGAATTCTGATTTTTTTTTTTTATATTTTTGGTATTTAGTGAATTTTCTAAATTTTTTTTCACAAATATTATACTTTTTAAATGTATTTATGTTAAGTATATCTAAATTTTTTTAAAATTTCTTAGAATATTAAAAAAATTTAGTAAAAATATGAAAAAACTAAAAAAAATAATTTTATGAAAAATAAATCCTGAAAATCTAAATTAAACAAGCTGAATAATAGTTCAAAAATGGGCTCTTTTAACTTCAAAAGACAATCAAGACAAATTCGGGCCCCAAATTATATTATGAAATGTATTTGGGTAAAATTTGTAAATAACAAAAACTCTATCACTTAATTTTGGATTGATACCTCTGTGTTGAAATGTATCCGGATAAAATCTGTGTTGAAGCTTTGGAAGCAACTGAGAGAGAGAGAGAGAGAGAGAGAGAGAGGGGGAGAGCAAACGGGCAGAAGCAAACGGCGGGCTGAAATTTGACAATCGATCCATGCCACCCTACACACGATTATGCTCATTCTCTACCTTTCATTGTTTCCCTCCAAGATCACCGTAGATACTCTGTTTCACTTTCATCTTCTACATTGTGAAATCATGAGAGCGACACAATTTCATCTCCAGAAATTTCTCAAACTCATGTCGGATCGTTTCTCCTTATCACAACCCAAGAGGACAATCAGTTCCTCCTCTTCTCCACGACTCCAATCGAACCAGAAACCTCCAATTCCAAAAACTTTCTTCAATTCAAACAGCAATGGCGCTCTCGTAAACCGCTTGTGCAAAGACAAGAAATTCAATGAAGCTATTGAAATTCTTTGCGAACAAAAGCGTTTGGGTGAAGCAATTCAGGTTCTAGACCTTGTTGATCATCCAAATGCTGCAATGTACTCGACTCTCATACAACTCTGCCTCCACCAGCGAGCTCTCGAGGAGGGCAAAAGGGTTCACAATCACATTAAACTCTCTAGTTTTGTACCTGGGATTTTCATTTTCAATCGCATTCTTGATATGTATTGCAAATGTGGGAGCCTTGTGGGTGCTCGGAATGTGTTTGATGAAATATCTGAAAGAGACTTGTGTTCTTGGAACATTATGATATCTGGGTATGCGAAAGTGGGACAAGTTAAAGAGGCTCGACACTTGTTTGATTCAATGCCTCAAAGAGATCATTTTTCTTGGACTGCCATGATTTCTGGGTATGTTCGGCATGACCAGCCTAAGGATGCTCTAGAGTTGTACAGAGTAATGCAGAGACATGAGAATTTGAACTGCAATAAGTTTACTGTTTCTAGTGCTCTTACTGCTTCTGCTGCCATTCAGACCTTGCACCTCGGGAAGGAGATTCATGGTCACATTTTGCGAATTGGGTTGGATTCTGATGCGGTTGTGTGGAGTGCCCTTTCGGATATGTATGGGAAATGTGGGAGTTTAGAAGAAGCACGGCACATATTTGATAAGACATTGGACAGAGACATTGTTTCTTGGACAGCAATGATCGACAGGTACTTTGAGGATGGAAAGAGGGAGGAGGGACTTTCATTGTTCTCGGACTTGTTGAGGTCAGGGATCAGACCTAACGAGTTCACATTTGCTGGGGTTTTAAATGAATGTGCAGATCAAACTGCAGAGGACATTGGCAAGCAAGTTCATGGGTACATGATGCGAGTTGGGTTTGATCTGATTTCATTTGCAGCAAGTGCACTTGTTCACATGTATGCAAAGTGTGGGGACATTGACAATGCAAGAAAGGTCTTCAAAGGGATGCATCGGCCAGATTTAGTTTCATGGACTTCTATGATCAATGGGTATGCTCAAAATGGTCAGCCCCACGAGGCTCTTCAGTTATTTGAGTTGCTACTCAAATCGGGTACTCAGCCTGATCATGTTACATTTGTTGGGGTCCTTTCAGCTTGCACTCATGCTGGTTTAGTTGATAAAGGGCTTGAATATTTTCACTCAATAAAACGGAAACATGGGTTGACACATACAGCTGATCATTATGCTTGTGTGATTGATCTTTTGAGTCGATCTGGCAGATTTAAAGAAGCTGAAGATTTGATTAATCAAATGCCCATGAAGCCTGATAAGTTTTTGTGGGCTTCTTTACTTGGTGGTTGTAGAATTCATTCAAATGTTGAACTGGCTAAACGAGCCGCAGAAGAATTATTTGTAATAGAGCCCGAGAATGCAGTTACCTATGTTACCTTAGCCAACATCTATGCCACAGCCGGCAAGTGGGGCGAAGTGGCAAAGATCAGAAAAATTATGGATGACAGAGGAGTAGTTAAAAAACCCGGTTTAAGTTGGATTGAAATCAAAAGGAAGGTCCATGTGTTCTTAGTGGGAGATTCGACCCACCCAAAATCTAGGGAAATACATGATTTTTTGGGGGAGATTTCAAAGAAGATGAAGGGAGAAGGGTATATTCCTCACACAGATTATGTGCTACATGATGTGGAAGAGGAGCAAAAGGAGCAAAACCTCTCTTATCACAGTGAGAAGCTTGCAGTTGCATTTGGAATTATTGCTACTCCTCCAGGAACAACTATAAAGGTTTTTAAGAATTTAAGAACTTGTGTTGATTGCCATACAGCTATTAAATTTACATCGAAGATTGTTGAGAGGAAAATAATTGTAAGGGATTCAAATCGGTTCCATTGTTTTGAAGATGGGACCTGTTCATGTAAAGATTATTGGTGATTCATGCCAGGGGTTGCTTTAAAAATTATGGTTTTGGAAAGGGAAAGCAGGATTTGTTTCCATAATACAGCTGTTTTCTTGAAAATTCGTCATCTGAAATGGAGAGCTTTCTGTCATCTCTTCAATGTCAGCCAGGAATTTTGATTGAATCTGACTGAGTTTAAAGACAAAGAATAATGGCTTGTTTACATATCGAAGTTTTTTATACAATTTCCATCTCATCTTCTACATTGTGAAATCGGAAATTAACAGTATATATGGAGTTGAGAAGCTGTAAAGATTAAGATCTTGGAAATTACCAAATACAGGAATCTACTACAAGCTCATTGATACTTTTAAGATTGTCATTGCACACGATCATGTCTTGTATCCTTGATGAAGGTTGAATATCAATGATTAGTGATCAAATTTAAAGTTGGAGCTGAAACTTTCTATGTTTTCTTCTAAACTTTGCGGTGGATTTCTTTGCAGAATTTAATGAAATTGTCTCAGTGAATGTATTTTTAATCCGCTTGTTCATTTGAATGTTCTTTTCAATTTGTCTTAATCTTACTTTGAGGAGAAGGAAACTAGAACAGCAATTGCATTGGCTATGTAAATTATGAATCTCTTCTTCATGCTAAATCTATGGGACGCAATATTTAACAGCTGCAAATCTGTGTATAATGTTTAGTCCATTTTTCTTTGAAGTGTGGTCCTTAGTGCAATGTAACATTTCTTTGTTGTAAATTGGGAATGAAGATAAAATTATGGAAAATGTACTCACATAAATTTTCTGCAATTTAACATGTGATCTGACAAGTGTCAGTTTTTGATTGATTAGACACTCAATGATATGAGACTCATTACCCTTTTCACATCATTATGAATGCATTTGTGGGTGTAAAATGTGAATCTCTAGCATTGTTGTAAAACTATATACATTTGACTTGTTTGAGACACTGCATAGGTCTAACCCTCGCAATAACAAGAGTCTTCAACGTGTGGAGTTTATAGAACAAAAGAATAGTACAGAAACAAAGACTAAAGTTAAACAGTTCCAACAAACTTTACATCACTAACTTATAAGTTAATTGAGTCTTCTATACATGGAGATTATAGAACAAAAGAACTATACGAAAATAAAGTTAACTATGATCTTCAAAGCAAGGATAATTTATCTATAAAATCACAGTAAGATAGCAAAAAGGGGGATACGAATTTCCTAACATACTCTTTTTTGCAATGCTCTTGCTATATATATATTATCACAAAACACGTGAACACAGTATATAATCTAATTATTTGAATTTAAAAATAAAATAAAATAACACCAAAATATTATATATATATTTTTTCCAAATACCTAACTTTAAATGTAGAGTTGGATAGTCTGATTATTGGTGAGGATTATCATTGTCATATATATTTTGGGGTTAAAAAAGTGTGGCCCATTTTGTACAACTTACATTGAGAAAAGACCCAAAAAACATGTTTAGAACCTAAAAAAATAAAGGGTAAATTACGCGGACACCCCTTGAGATTTATGTTTATTGCAGTTTCTCCTCACGTTTTGAAAATTACATCTTCTTCTCTGAAGTTTAAAGCTTCATTACAGATTCCCCCCTCAGCAATTTAATTTTTTTGAAATACTAATTTTGCCCTCACTGGGTAAATTATATTGACACTCCTCACATTTTGAAAATTACAATCCCTTCCCTAAGATTTAAAGTAGCATTACCAATTGCCCCATCGGTTAGTATTAGTTGGAAAAAAAATTATTTGAAAAAAAAAATTTAATTGAAAAAAATTTTTGTTAGTAAATTTTTTAAATTTCTCTTTAAAAACCAACGTAAACTCATTTTTTGAATTTACGTTTTTTCCTTAAATTTACAAACTGAGACAACCATTTATAAACCAAAAAAATTATCAAACAAGTTTTTATGACAGTTTTTAAAATTTTTGTAAATATAAATTGAAAATTGAAAACGAAATGGTTACCAAACAGGTTTCAGATGGTAAAAATGTCGCAAAATTAACAAATAATTAATCAAATAAGTTACCAACATAAGAAATGACTTATTAAAAGATTTTTAGGCTATGTATGGTTTGATTTTTAGAAAAAAAAATAAAAAATAAAAAATAATTTGGTTAATGAATAAAAAATAAAAAATAATTATTATTTTTATATAATTTTTATCTTTTCAGTGGTTAGAAATATTTTTTTACAAATTAAATTGAAACAGCCATACGTATGTATATAACCTGCCCAAAAGTTAAAATGATATGGGGTTGTTTGGGATGACCTAAATAAGTGCATTTTTTGACTTTTTAGACTAAAAAGTTGAGGAAAAAAATATGGTTGTTTGGGTTAACTTTTTGACTTTTTATGAAAAAATGTGTATTAAAAATTTGTATAAATTAGTGTGTAGGGGAAAATTAGGATTGGGAGTTGTGCAGCCGTACTTTTTGACTTTTGGTGAATAGTGATAACTTTTTAACTTTTTGAATAACTTTTTGGTTTTTTGGGCATATGCCAAACTTGGCCTTATTTTTTACCCTTAAATGATAATTATTTTCTATTTCTTAACCAAATTAAATTTTAAATTTTAAATTTTTTTTCTAAAAGTCAAACTATACATAGCCTAAGAATCTTTTGATAAGTCATTTCTTACGTTAGTAACTTATTTAATTATTTGTTAATTTTACGACATATTTACCATCTGAAGCCTGTGTGGTAACCATTTCGTTTTCAGTTTTCAATTTATATTTACAAAAATTTTAAAAACTATCATAAAAACTTGTTTGACAAATTTTTTGGTTTATAAATGGTTATCTCAGTTTGTAAATTTGAGAAAAAAAACATAAATTCAAAAAATGAGTTTACGTTGATTTTTAAACAGAAAACTGTAATAAATATGAACAGGTGTCAATGTAATTTACCAAAAAATAAATAAATAAAATCTTGCACATTCATTATCCACATAGGCTGCTTGTACACTCTTTAGGGGGACAAAAATTAAAAACACAGAAACGGACTGAACCCGACGTGAATCGAACACGCAACCTTCTGATCTGGAGTCAGACGCGCTACCATTGCGCCACGGATCCACGCTGTAGAAGGGATCGCAAATAAATGTTATTTCAATGTACATTGCATAACGTGCCATTAAAATTTCACTACAAAAATCAAAATTTTTCATCACTAAAAATAAAAATTTTGTTATAAAAAATATTAAGAGATTAATTTCAATCATTATATGCACTTTTAAATACAAAAATTTGCACCAAATGTTTAGGGCCGTTTGGTAACGTTTACGTTTTCAGTTTATATTTACAAAAATTTTATAAACTGGTTTTTGTTTATTTTTAGAAAAACATAAACTACTAACGCATTTGGTTTAGACAAAATGTTTAAAAAAATTTAAAAATATAAAAAAGAGTGAGAAATGACAAGTGGTGGTGGGTGGTGGCAGCGGAAGACGGTGGTGGAAAATGATGGTGAGTGGTGGTGGCGGAAGACGGTAGTGGAAAATGGTTACAGGTGGTGGGTGATGGTGGCAGAAGACGGTGGCGGAAAGTGGTGGCAAGTGGCGGCAAGTGGCGGGTGGGTGGGTGAGTGGGTGGTGGTGGAAGACGGTGGTGGAAAGTGGTGGCAAGTGGCGGGTGGTGGCGGCGGAAGATGGTGGTGGAAAGCGGTGACGGGTGGGTGGATGGTGGTGGCAGGTGGGTGGTGGCGATAGTGGTGGCAGGTGGGTGGTGAGTGGTGGTAGCGGGTAGGTGGCGGGTAGTGGTGGCGGGCGGTGAGTGGTGGTGGCGGGCGGTGAATGGTAGTAGCGGGTGGTGGGTGGTGGCGGGTGGATGGCAGGTGGGTAGTGGGTAGTGGTGGTGGCGGCGAGTGGGTGGCAGGTGGGTGGTGGTGGCGGCTGGTAGGTGGTGGTGGCAGGTGGGTGGTGAGCGATGGTGGCAAGTGCGTGGTGGGTAGTGGTGGCGGAAGACAGTGGTGGAAAATGGTAGCGGGTGGTGGCTAGTGTTGGGTGGTAAAAAAAAAAAAACTAAAAACTCAAAACGGAAACACATTTTTTGAGTTTACATTTTTTGGCCAAATTTATAAACTGAGACCACTGATTTATAAATAAAAAATTTACCAAACAAGTTTTTATTTGAGTTTTTTTAAATTTTTTTAAATATAAACTGAAAACGTAAATGTTACCAAACGGCACCTTACTTTTTAAAATAAAAATTTTAATCTTAAAAAGATAATAATTCATTATTTCAGTCCTTTTTATCTTACCTATTTTTTTTCTAAATTTGTGGCCAATTCCATGAACATGGGCTGTTGAACACATGGAACCGGTTCATGATTGGATCAAATGAATGAAATCACACACCCCTTCTGTTAGGTTTTTATTTTTGGCAATCCCGTTTGACAAAACTCTTTTCAGTTGTACTTATTTTTGCACTTTTATTTCCGTGAGGCTATGAGTTTCTTAGATGCGAATTCAAGCCGAATTGTGTCATGCAGAGAAGTTTGTGATGTTAATTCTTTCAAGATTGTCACTTCACTGACTATGACGGGGATTGAGCTGCCCGATCAGCTCGCGAGGGTCGAGGGGGCAGCGCCCCTTGGCAGGTCCGGGGTAGCACCCAGACGAGGTCGAGGGGCAGCGCCCCCGAAGCAAAATGCAAAATTGCATTCAAAGTTGCTTGTCCGCCTTTGCTCGCTCGAGTGAAGGAGTCTTCGCTCGAACGACGGCTGCGTCTGTAAAAAACCTGAGAATGATGATTTTACGCTCAAGCGCAGGTTGTTTGGCTCGAGCGAAGCCACTTATGGAAAACATGCGTTTTTGGTTCCTCGCTCGAGCGAGCTTCGCAGTCCCAGATTTCTATAAGTACGTGTTTCTGTCAGATTTTAGGATAACTTCTTTAGATCTTCTTTTTGGATATTAAGGTTTATATCTGGGAATGTTTTGCTAGTTTTCTTTGATGTTTAATTGAGTATTCAACTCATGAGTTAAGAAGAATGCATCAAAGGTTTGTTTGTTCATTCTATACAAAAGAGAGAGTTGTTCTTCGGTAGATTCTGAAGAATTTGAACTTGAAGTTTTGGTGGATTCTGGAGTGCCTCATCGTCAAGACAATTCTGAGGTGAAGATGGGGCTGGAAGAGGCACATAGGGGTTGGTTCAATTCGGGCGTGGATTCGCTAAGTAATTGAGAGTATACCTGTGTATGACTAGGCTTGCCTAAATAGTTAGAACTTTGCAACTTTTATACGAAAAGTCTTGCAAAGTTAGATATGGAGTTAGATATGTTAGATATGCATTAAGTTAAGTTTTTGTTTGTATTCACCACTTTGTATCTATATATTGGCCTTTATGCCAACATAATGATGTATGTAAATTCCCTTCAACTTCTCTCCATTGTTGTGCTTTCTTCTAAGTTCTTCTTCTTTTTGCTTTGTTCTTTCTCTCTTCTCTAGCATAATTCCATAACTCCACCAAAATTCCATAATAAAAATAGTAAAAAGCTCCTTTCCTTTTGAGTTTTGTAATTGGTATCAGAGCTTGGTGAAGAGCTTTTGAAAGCAAGATCAAGCTATGTAAGTATTTCTATCTACGTATAAATTTTTAATATATATAAGTTTGAATGGTGTGTTTTATGTTATAAAAAAAAAAAAAAATTTATTCAAAAATTCCGTCTAAGTTTTTTGTGCATCCTTTGTATTTTATATCTTTATAATTTTTTGTTTCATTTTTAGTTGTTGTAAAACCTATATGCTTAGCGTATGTCAAAGCCCATATACTCATTAAGATCTTTTGACAATTGGCCATAATTAAGTCTTCAAGATTATAAAGAGAGGTTTTAAGCACCAGATAATACACTAGGAGGGTCTTAGGTACCAACAACAATCTAAAATGGCAATTAATTCTGACGATATAATATGCTTTGGAAATACAAAAAATAATGTTAATAATAAATATGATCATAGTTTGCATATTACTAAAGAATCTGCAAATATAAATAGTGTGTGTTCTGAGGTGAAGATGGGGCTGGAAGAGGCACATAGGGGTTGGTTCAATTCGGGCGTGGATTCGCTAAGTAATTGAGAGTATACCTGTGTAATTCTTTTATATCTTCTTAGTGGATTGTTTTGTGGCTGTTGTCTGTGATTTTTTTATCATAGTTGGAGGTGCTACAATTGTGGTTTTTCCACGTTGAAATCGTTGTGTCGATTTGTCTTGATTGTTTGATTGAGATTGTTTTATTGCTTTAAATTGATACATAATCACAAATCAATATTTAGGGGATGTTTAGATTTTTCACCTTCATTGATTAATTGACAAAACAAATTTGTTGATAACATGAACCACAACATGATACACAACCCATTTTAACAAAACAACTAAATTAAATAAAATTTATTGCATTGCCTAAAATTATATATGAAGATGAAGGTAATACTACTACTCAATCTTCTCCTCCTTCTCTACTACAACATTGTTCTTTATTTTACTAATTACTTTGTCATCAATCATGCCATAAAACTTATTGCATTGCATCCTTAATCTTTCCCCACACCCTTTTATCTTATCCTCATATTTCACATAGATTGCAGGTAAAGTCATGCCCATCATAATTCCTGCGGCAACAACCATAAGAAAATTAAAACTTAAAAGAGTTAAGTTTAAAGATATCAAGAGAGAAATCAATATTGCTAATAAAAGTACCGAGCAATGCATATCAAGAATTAAGTGAAGTGTCTGTGAGTTCTTTGCATTTGTGAATTCTTTAAAATCATTACGCATATGGCCATTCGTAAATTTTTTTGAATTCATGGATTCTTTAAAATCATTCCAATTCAAGAATCAAGAATCAAATGACTAAATTGTCTAACATTTTAAAATCATAAAAATAAATAAATAATAGTCAAACCACGAACTAAACGATATATCAACCAAATGGGTTAGCTCACTTTTAATCTCTTCTTATTATGGGGCTTTGTTATATATATATATATATATATATATTTTGGGCTCTTTAAGAGGTTGATGGGTGGGCAAGCTCTTTGTTGGGCTGGTTGCTGTATTAATGTGTGTGTTAGATTATGATTGTCTGGTTGTAATTCTTTTCATATTTATAAATACTCATATTATCTAATGACAAAATTAAAAATAAAATGAATAATATATCATGAATTGATTGATACATATACAAATTTTATTTCGATTGATATATACCGTAATGTATCAATATCAAGAGTCCAAAAAGTTGACCAGCCTATGCCAATATTAAAAACTATGTTTAAGAGTGTGACACATAATTATTGAGTAATTCAGGCACGACGTAACATTGTTTTTGTGATTCTCCAAACCAATTATGTAACTTAATTGGGAACTTTACAAAATGTGATACGGTGACTAGTATGCGCAGTAATTTCTCATTTGTTGAGAGTAACATGTAAACAATCCACATAATATTCTAAAAATATGTAACTTATCAAATAAGTCTATGCATCATCAATTTTTTTATGCGAAATATGTCTCGAAGCTATGCCTGTTTGGTATCCCTAAGCTGTGTCAGTCGACCCCGCGCGCCTTCGTTATAAATTTCGTGAATTTTTTTTCGTCATTCGTAATTTCCTACTGCCATGATGATAATTTAGAGAGTGGTGAAAACATTACCAATATAGAGAAGAGTGAGTAGATCAAAGAAACATCCAACTTTGGAAGCAACCCACAGAGCAGCTAGAGTTCCACCAAAGGTAAACAAGTCTCCCTCAGCACCCACCCTAAACATCCACCTGATTCCTTCTTCAATCCATGATTTAACTAAATGTGCCATCTCCACTGCTGCCTCCTCTCTAATTTCCAGCCCTGACAAGTTTGGGGGCTCTCTGAAAACCAAACACACATCAATATCTTCTCCCCAAACATATAGGAAGCTTAAAATGATTCTGCATAATGTATACAAAATATAAAATAATTTTAAATTTTGTTAATTAATGGTGTTTAGGTCACTCGTTAACCAAGCCCAACAAATATTAAGACCATATTATACGCTGTCATCGGTTAATAAAAATACAAGTCACCAATGAGGGCCTGGAAGGAAAAAAAAAAAAAGTTAATGCTATACTCATAGAAAAATTGTATATAAACTCACTAATATAGAATAATCTGTCTAAGTTTAAATTTTATCAATCTAAAATAAAAGTAACCAATTTTTTTAGAGAAAACATAGAAATTACAAGGACCGACCTCGTGTTTTTCTTTTACTGTACACATGTTTAGCATAATTCCGATAAATTCCCTTAAATTTTTAATTCACTAACACTTAGCCTAATTTTCATTAAAAATATCACTGTTACATTATTTCTTTATATGAATTCTAAATTTGTAAGAAAATGAGTTTACACCCAAAGAAATAAAAGAAAAAGGAAAAAGAGAGGAAGAAGAAGGTTAAGAAAGGGGGTTTATAAATTATAATTATAATATTACTTGTTGAAGAGCCTGAGAAGGTTGCCCCACAAGAAGATAGAGGTAACAAGAAACATGCCCACCCAAGATGCAATAGTGATGAAATTGAACTCATAAACTTCCATCACCACCCATATTGCTGTAGCTACCAACAGAACAAGCATACTCAGTTTCTTCCTGCTCCACAGTACTACATCTCTCATCATATCTGCAACAAATATTCATTACAAATTTAGAAGAACGCCCCACAGAGACAGAGACAGAGACAGAGAGCCACATGGAGCTTAATTTACCTGCCGGCGGTGAAGATTCTGATTCTGTGGACATACTGAATGATTAAGATAAAATCAAACAATAAAATTTTATTTTCTTTTTTGGGAGAGAGCTTGAAGGAGTGCTTTGTTGAGCAGGTTTTTTTTGGAGTTTGAAAGTGATCACCACCGAAAGAGAGCGAATGAAGTGTGAGGCTAAATTTGAGGGTCACGCGTGCAAAGAATGAAGAGATACGTGGAAGCCATGCAGGCCTTGTTGCTAGCTAGCACTGTGTTTTGAAATTTTTATTTTTATTTTTATTTTTATTTTTATTTTTATTTATTTATTTATTTTTTTTCGGGTAAATTAGATTGAGCTCCACTGATTTGAGAGTAGGTTATTTTAATTAATTTTTTTTATAAAATAATGTTCAGAAAAATAGAGAAGAGAGTTAACATTTTTTTTATAATGACTTTAAAGAAGTCACAAATGAAATTAGATGGATGCATCTTATCTATCATTAATTTAATATTGTTGTGATCTATACATAAAATTATTTATTGGATAATGATACCGTTACGTAATATTATGGGTTATTAGATAATGATACCGTTACGTGATATCACTATTACCTCCAATAAGTTTGTTTGGTCTACTTGATAGAATTTTTTTTTTCAACTTATTTAAGTTTTTTCTACTTTATAAATTGTAAGTAAAAATTACATTAAAGAGATAAATATGAATTCTTAAAATAAAAATAAATAAATATTGAGACCCAATTTGATCCTATGGAGAAGACCTCGAACCAAGCTACAAGAGAAGGCACCCCAGCTCTAACTGGGCCTGGCTTTAGCAAGGAAGGCACATTGACGATACAACTTAAACCATGCCTCTCCTAACTCATTTTCTATGGGCCAGAAAAAACCATTTGGGCTGTGTTTACGTAGGAGTCGTGCAGAAGAATAATTTTGGTGCTTCAATACCTTCAAAAAAAATAAAAATAAATAAGGGTAGTCACAGTCAGTCCTGTATATCGGACTTATTTGTCGATAAATTCTGTTAATATATAAATAAATATAAGAATGATAAGTTTTTTAGCTATAATAAATTTACCAATCTAATAAATAAAGTTAAGAACTACACATATAAAGAAAAACAAAAATAAATAATTTACATTGATAAATTTCTCATTCACAGTGCTTATATCTCCATGAATTTTTTTTATTTAGAACCTATGAATAAATAAGTACGGCTAGTAAGAGCAACTGGCAATTATTTTAAATAAATATGGGGTGGGGTGTCTTTGTCCTCCAAAATTTTAAGAAATTCTGATTTTATATGAGTGCAATCCGTTAAATTTTTTTATAACCCATATAATTACTCTTGAAATTTGACACTTGTAAATTTTTTGAAAAGTGTATTCTGTATAAAGGTTGTCTTTCAAAATTTAATCTAACATCATATGACTTATATCTATTCTTGGTGTGGAATCATATTTAATTTATTTATTTTTAAGTGCTAAAGTAGGGAAATTCTACTAGAGAAAAATAATTGATTTCTTGTGTGGTTTTTATAATTTTTATTGGATCACTTGTGAAGTTTTATGAAGCTAAGCACTTTAAATGACATTCAATAAATAATTATGTAGACTTTGAAAGTAAATTAATTTTGAATTAGTTCAATAGGCCTATATTAAGTAATACTTTCAATAAATTAATATGTTTAAAACCGACCCAACTTATTTTCAGTCCTACAAGATATATCTCATGCCTCCCCTCTCTGACCCTCTTCTCCATGCCGTAGAAGTTATATCATATAATGGTGTACAATTTGAACAGTTTATCATGATGACTAGTAAGAGAACACTTCATTCAGTCAACCACTTTGGTGTCTCTGTGTGAAAAAATGTGTTGATTTAGGTTTGACCTTATTTATGTAACATGCTAAGATGCCATGTAAACCGTAAGTTTATTATTATTTTTCTTCACTTACTGTTGAGTAATGGTACAAGGAGTGTACAAGTCAAGAAATGTTTGTTTAGCTCCATTTGAACCCTTTCGTACATTAGAATATGTGCACTATAAAGTCGAAAGTTCTTCCAAAAACAATTCATGGAAATGTGACTCCAGAGTTTGGAGATTAGGCAACGTCTCTCATATAGGAATAATGTATCACTATGCACATGAGTGTGTTAATGAGTTGAGTTGGTTGAGTAATTATATTTTCCATATAGGAATAATGTATCACTATGCATATGAGTGTGTTAATGAGTTGAGTTGTTGAGTAATTATATTAATATGGTGAGATTTGCCCTCTTATTTTAGTATTTTATTTTTGAATGATGATATTATGTTATATTAAAATTTTAACATTTGAATAAGGTGTTAATAAAATAGGGTACGAGGAGGGAAGTAGATGACTTCAAAACTTGCAATATATAAACCCCAAGGGATTGGCCTAGTGGATGTAACTTGGAGTTTAGGAGTGTGCTCCTTTTAGATATCAAATTCAATTCTCATTAGAAGCAATTCGTTATTTGGGATTATGCCTGCAAGTTCTACCTGGGATTTACTCGATTCACATGGAGATGGTGCTTTGCGTGAGTCTCGAAATTTGTTAAGGTGCGCGTAAGCTAATCCAGACGCCTTATCATTAAAAAAAAAAAAAAAAAAAGCTTGCAATAATGTACATGTTAAGTAGTAGTGTTAACCTAGTAGGAATATTCTAAGAGCTTAGCGTATTTCCTTGCTTTGACTTCTATTAGAATTTGGTCATGGATTGTTCGTCTCCTCTTCTAAGGGTCTACCCATGTGTTCCTAGGGGGATTGGGGCTGGCATATGTACATACTTCAGTTAATACAAGTAGTGGTTAAGTCAAAGTAGGATGTTTGGATTTTGAAAACAAATCATTTTCTAAAACCATCAAAAAGAGAGAGAAAAAAATATGACCAATTATTATTTGTATTCAAAATTTTCTTTCACTATTATTGATATGTATGGCCTAGTCCCTACTTAGAAATATTATTTAGTATTGCTCAACCTAATAATCGATTTTACGAGTTTGTTTTTTTAGATTATAAAACTCGAAAATATGTCTATACTATTTTATAAATTTATAAATGAAAATCATTCGCATGTGATATTATTAAGATGTCAACAACTCTTAATTACATCATGTTTTGATGATTCACAATGCTAAACACACCATCTAATTCACAAAAAAAAAAATAATAACAATAAAAATCACAAGACTAAATACATCACAAATACACATGATTTTGTGAAATTTATTTTTACACTTCAATGCTTCACAAAGAGAAAACATCATAATTAAGACTAACTGCTCCAACTAATTCAAATTAGATGATTACTCATCAGTGCTCTCTGACTTTTTTTTATTTTTCCCAATTAGCAGGTTGTGACTCCATCAATTGGATTCAGGGGATGGATTGAGTGGAAATTCCTCAACCAAAGTGATACTCCCTCCGTCCCATAATATTAGTCCCTTATTTCATTTTTTATTGTCCCAAAATATTAGTCCCTCTTCAAAAATTAAGTACAAAAATAATATAAATTTCCCATTTTGCCCTTCTTTTAAATTCATAAATAATATAAAAAGTACAATTATGACATTGATATTCTCAAAAAGTGTACTATCAAAGGGTAATTTTGGAAAATTAACTTTTTAAAAGTACAATAATTGTACTACCAAAAAAAATTGGAATCTCCAAAAGGGACTATTATTTTGGGACGGAGGGAATATTATTATTAATGAGCGGTGACATTACAATCAATGCCATGCACTAAAAAAAGAAAAAGACAAGAGTAGAATCAAATGCAAACAGCGTCACGTGGAGAGTCAATATTTGTGGTGGTGCCCACAGCCTTTGCTAAAAAACACACAACCAACCGACATCTCACATGGCTCATGGTTGCCCATAATTATTATTATTATTTTTTTTGAGGGTGTCTAATTAGGCCTTTTCTCTCTCTAAATTAGTAGTGTTGAAACATATATATACCTATATATATATATATATATAAAATAATTAGAGTTACTCTAACGAGAGATCATTAAATTAGTCGAGTCGAAACTTTGATGATTCGTAAATTACATTAATTTCTTATAAAATTTGAAAAAATTGCAAGTAGTTTAATTTTAATATAATTATTTTAATTTTTTTTAATAAAGTTAAATGAATCAAAACTAATGTTGATCATATAAAAACCAAAAAATAATATATATTTTAGTATAAAATAAATAATTATATAATTTTTTATCCATATGACTAACAAATTATTAATGAAAATAAAATTAAGTATTATATAAATTAAAACTTTATGAGAATCTAATCAAATTATATCAGAATTATGGAATTTATATATATTTTTTCAAACATTAGAGGAGGTCAGTATGATTTTTTTAAAAAAAAAAACTATGCATTCATAAGTTACTAACAATTGTCATAAGTGATACACGTGTAATTTAAATAAATAAAAATAAAATAAAATATTTACTATTATATATGTGTGTCATTGAAGTAGTAAGGTCAAGTTTGGGAAGACTAAATAAGTGCACTTTTTGACTTTTTATGAAATATGGATTGGGTTTGGGTTGGGTTTGAAGTGATGTGTTAGAGAGGTGATGTGACTTAAATAAGATGATGTGACTTAAATAGGATAGTGACTTTTTGACTTTTTAAATTTTTTAAGGGTTGCCAAACTTGGCCTAAGTGTCTTTTTGAATAGATTCAAAGTCTAAGGCTTGAGTTCTACTCCTTCCATTTGTCTAAGTTTTTATTTTATTTTAATTTGAAATAGAAAAATGAAGGACACATGGCATAAAGAGAAGCAAACAAGACTTGAATATTAAATCCAACCTTCACTTAATAAAATAGTATAGATATAAATATATTTCTTATTTATTCTGTTTGAATGAAAATATATAATTATTTTTAAAATCCGTTACTAACTTACTAGTGCTTGAGAACATGTTAACATTTGTTTTATTTTATTTTCTTTTGGAATAAATTGCAATGTGGTGTCAGTACTTCTTTTTGAAATATA